CCTTCACTCAAGTTATTAGGCGGGTAGAATTGCTAACTGAATTGTCTCTTGCACAGCCTCCATAAACTTGTGTTGAAGACATTTGTTTTCGTGTGCCACCATTACCCTTCAAGCTGACTTTTATGACGGCAACTAACCTCAACTAATCCCCAGTAGAGGGTCTCAACACTCGGCTCGACGACAATCTGGCGCGACGCCAAATTTCCAACGTCATATCGTCAAGTGAGACCACCTTTCTAGTGGATGTTATTCTATACGAGTTTACTCGTAGCATGTAACTTTACCAAAGAATCAACTTAAAATCAGTTCCTCCTTTCCATGTTGTAAAATCGCAGCATCCAATCAAGGCCTAACTTCTGCGTGACTGTACAAATATGCACGCAATCTTAGTTGTCCATTTACTTTTATCCTATCCTGCACATTCACCAGCACCAGAGGCATATATAAAACCAACAACACTCGTATTTATAACTGATTCATGTACACTAACTAGTTATCCTTCATTTGCCTTCTCTTTTTCATATAAGCTTGAGGACAGGCTTAATAATGCTATTAGTCCGTTCATATTTATGCATTATTAGTAGTTTTGAAAATAAATAGGCCGTTAATTGTAGTGGCAAGTACATTTTAGCCTAGAAATTTGTTCTAGACAAATAAACAAAGTTGAAAATTCTATTAGAGCTGGTGATGAGGTTAATATGAGGCAAACCTGCAGTCGGAATTGAAAGAAAAACCTTTTGAAAGGCAGGGCTAAATGAAAGCTAATGGATTTGTGAAGCCGGCTAAGACCATTTTGAGAAGCTTCTTCTTTATCAATTCTGTGGATATTTTAAACTTTTATGAGTCTTTTTGGAGACACGACTTAATTTCAATGCAGTATGTGATCCTCTATTCTCAAAGGCGTTTATCCTTTTCCATTGACTGTTCAAATATTGAGCATCGTGGTAATTGATCTAAAACATTGTTTTATATTAAGTATTCATCCTTGCATTATATCATCTCTGTTAAAAAATTAAAAGAAATAGGTGAAGCCTCACTTATTCAAATTTGCTTGACAGTATACAGTTGTGAGGATTCAGTACCAATTTTTGTTATATCAACAGGTAACAAGAACGGGCAATCTAGTGATACTAATTATAGGAAGATCTAGGAATAGACATTCCACGATATATGCACATTTGAGGAAGGAAATTTCAATCAAAGTCTTCTTAGCAATTCTAAGTTTTTCTATGTGACTCTTATGATGCATTGTTTTTGTGCTTTAAGGATAAATTAACATTGCAATTTCTCAAAGAATTTCCTATAGGTCAAAGATTGCTCCACAAACACCAGGCATTACTCATAGAGGTATTCAATTTAAACTCAGGTATCCATCAAGTTATAAAGTTTACTAATGCTAGATTCATTGGTTCGCTCTCCATCCGGAGGGATAGAAATCAGATCGATACAGAGTAGAATAGATAATCTCTACTTTATTAATAATATAACTAATACCATAATAATAATATTATTATAACAACATATAATTAAGTGAAATAATAAAATATAATATATACTATGTATAATTTATATAGTATCAATACCTTTTTTATATCATGACAATATTTAGAGCTTAATAGCTTTGTTATGCGAAACCTAGTGATATGCCTTATTTAATCAATATTAAACGATAAAATAAAAAAATATGTATTCGTTTTTCTTAAGATTCTTGGGTAGTGCAAGTTGATAGTACGTTTTAAATAACCTGCTTTGAATTATGAATGTATTTATTTCAAATTAATTTTAGTTTATTTAGGATTATATTATATGCTAAAGTTCAAAAAAATTCCCCAATAGCATTCATCAACTATTGGAACCGGAATTTTATACTCGGACTGAAGAAGCATCGTCAGTAAGAATAGCTTTTGCATTAAAAGCTAATGATATTTTCCAAACGAATTCAAATTTACACATTCAAGGACGCAATTAGGTATAGAGTGATGCTTAAACTATATGCATTTGCTGACCCCTGCATGAAATGATGGCATATAGATTTTAATTTCATGGGGTGAGAAAACAGAGTAGCTATTAAGAGATAGAGACTACTCTACTTAAAACACTGAAAAAGAATTTATTCAGATAAAATATTCAATTCATGCATAGTTTTTATGATCTAATCAGTTTGTACCATTTAAGGTGTAAATTGTTAATATCAAAAACTAACGCATGTTTCTTGTCTTCAAATAAATATTTATAATGAACTAAGCCTCTAAACTCTGAGTTTCGATGCATAGAAATCGTTACCCAAACTTAAGCTGTGTTTGTAATTATGTTAAATGTGTATCCAATGATTTTGGCGAAATTTAGCATCAACACTCCTTAAAATGAATAAAATATTAAAAAGATCTCTTCCATACAAACTGAAAGTTTACCTTTAACTTAAAATATTGGATTCCAAGACAAATATTAAAATTTGTATCTTACATGCTCGATTGTGTCCAGTAGTTTGTAGCTCCCTTGCATCCTCAGAATGTCTTCGATGCAGACCTTTTGATGGGGTTGCAGTGTTCTTAAGAGTTCTTTTTCCTAAATTTTGCACGGCTGTGGCCTGTTCCTGATTTCCGTTTGCCTGCTTTACCACTTCATGCTGATCCCCAATTATTGAGGTCTCTTCTATGATCCTCTCGGGCATAATCTTCGAAGTATATAATAGCCCACATTCCTCTTGTTTTAGCCTCACGCACCTTGCGCTTTCATCATCTTCGTTTGATCTCTCAAGACGTTTGATCCCAGCTAGCGATTCATTGGACTCAGTTAGATGTTCCACGCAGAAAGTTTCCTTAGACGGAACTTTTTCAGGATTTTTTAACTGATTTATATTAATTTGATCGAAATCCTTTCCTTCGGAATCTGTTTCCATCATTTGCTCTTCTATCTCCTTGGTATAGGACCTTATAGTACAACTTGTGAGACAATTTTTATCATCTCTCATAGAAATTTCACTTGTTTCTTGCCTGAATTCATCGAGCCTTACGGTCTCTTTAATTAGCACTATATCCAATTCATTAGTTTTATTTTTGACATTATCCGGCACTTGATAATTGCCATTTACTTGTGGTCGCTGCGTTACTAGAGGAGGCAATGTAGGAGTGTATGTAATCCGGCTGTTGTTCTTAGGAGAAGAGGGTCTCAAATTCTCATCCAAATGATTTTGATTTGTCTGAGGGTCTTTACTCTCACTGCGGATGAAGGGAACTGAGGACTGAAGGACTGCGTCGAACGCTGGATCAACAGAATCAGAAACCCGAATAATTTCAAGAGAGGTATTAGTGGTAGTATTTTGTGATTTGATGTGTAGGTCACCGAGTTTTCTAGTTGTTTTTTTGTTGGATGGCATACTGATCGCATTTGTGTCATTTTGAATGAGCTCTTTTAGCGATAGATTAGGTAAAATAGCTATCTGTTGCTTAGATTGCCAACTGTTACTTTTGCCTAGATTAGCAGATGGTAAACGACTTGAAGGTGAAGCCATTAATTCATTTAAATCGCCCCTATTATGACTGATTTCTGAAAACTTTGATGAGAATCCCTGTTCTGACGGCTGCATAGTTGGTTCTCCGAAAATGACCTGATTGCCATCCGACTGAACAGAAACTTCCAGGCACCTTTGAGCCAAATTATCCTCATCAGAAGAGGACCATGCACGCAAAGTGGTCGGGCCTAGTGAGTGTGAGTCTGGTTTCTTCAGAGGAAAAGGCTGCTCATCTGAGGGCAAACAAGCCATTCTTACGATATCAGACTTCGGCCGACTGAGCAACACTGGTAACTTCTTGAAGTTTTGCTGCTGCCGACAATACTGTGATTCTGGTATCGGCCTTGATACTGGTTCATCTGAATGAAACCCCTTTCTTGGATCGTGGAGTGATAATCTCGAATACTGGATCCTATTAGGTAAAGTTGATTCCTTATTATTTAGCTGATCCTGGTTTGATCGTAAAAATGCGGTTCCAGCTCCTCTAGTATTAGATGCAGGAAAGGCTGTATCCGCTATAGATCGTCGGCGGATGTTGTCAACACCACTTTTTGCCGAGCCGGAAAGATTTACGGAGAGGAAGTTTAAGCCAGAGCAAGAGGCCTCTTTCGGAGAATGACCTTTAGATAGTACTGTTACTAGGGAGGGTTTGCAAATAATTTGACAAGGAAAAGAGGTAAAGCATGAAATAAGCATCCTCGCACAGATTAGAACATCTTTGTAATCAGATTAATTAAATTGTTATTTTATTAATAAAACCTAGGGCAGTTAAAATCGTTCAAATAATTGAAGAAAGAGCTGATTAATTTGCCTGCAAGTGGGCTAAGGTTTTATTGGCATTGTGTAAATTTGGGTGAATTTGTTATGAGCTAAACGAGACTAAGATACTAGTCTAGATAATTTAAAGATACCTTAGGTTTTTTGGGATGATGGATGGGATGAGTTAAAGACTTTCATTTTTAGATAATGTCTGGGGTTTTGGAAGCCTGAAAGTCACGTGCATGAATAATCTGATTTTAGCTAACTGTGACCAGTTTAAATATTAATCTCCGCATTAACTTCATAAATAATATTTGTTCATATCTAACTATAAGGTTACATTGGCCTATTAGATAAAACTAAGTTGAATTTACTTTTAAAACACTA